GAACCCTATTCACAAGAAGGTCCGGTGCTCGTTCACAATGAAAAACCCCTTTGTGAGTTGCTCATCCAGGTCCAATACATTGATGAGGTGTGGAAGGATAATGCTCCCCTTTTGCCCTCTGATCCTTATACTAGAGCTCAAGCTAGATTATGAGGTGATTTTGTTGACATAAAGGTAGGCATGTATCCTTATATATGGTGATACTTGATATTAATTAAGTCTAGTTTCTTGCTTATAACGTATGATGGTATGAATAAAACTAAACACTATTCCTTCCCTTCATATTTTGTCAATTATTTCTTTATTTTTTTTTTTACACTAAATGATACATATTTTGGTCCAACATACTGCACAAAATATTTATTAAAAAATCTCAATTTTTTTTATATGAAATTAAAAGCAAATAAATTTTAGGATGCAGTTATGCCTACAAAATGTAAGAATTGATTGAATCAGTTATATTTATATTATAATTTAATAGTTGAATTAAGATGAGTGTCAAAAAATGTATTTTACCAAATATATATCAATTATTTTTCTTTTTTTTTTTCATTTTTTTATTAGTTAGATTGAGAACTGTGATTCATTTAATCAAATATAACCTAATGTTTAAAGTGAAAGTAAAATGGCAATATTGTTGTTTTTAGCTCAAACTGTCATTTCTAGTTGAACTAACGTTTTTTAAGTCTAGAATGGGAAACAACAATATATCTCATTAAAATGATGGTGGGTTCTAAATAGTTGATTGTGGGATGTAGATATATGACCGTGGGAGGAAATTTTGTGTGACCAAAGGAGAGAGCAAGCAACAACTGAGAAGTAGTTCATCGAAAAGCTTTTGAAGGTGCTGGATGCTGAGCTCGGTGACAAGGTTTACTTTGTTGGATCAAACTTGGGATATGTTGATGTTGCTTTGGTTTATTACATCAAATGAGATCCTGGAGAGAATTCATGTAGAGACAATATATTCATGTTGATAGCCTGTTTTAAAAAAAATAAGTAGAAGTATGAACTAAAGAGATACAAAAGGAGACAAAGAGACCATAAAGAATTTTATTCTTCTTTTTTCCATTCTATTTCCATACAAGTTGCAAGCCCTATATGTAGGCTAGAAGATGGGTAGGAGTTATAAGATAAAATCATCTACTAATTCATAAGTTATATGGATTTAATCACTCACTAAATCACTAAGTAGTTACATGGTGGAATCATGGTAATTGCATAAAAGAAGTGGGAGTTAATCACTTTACATGGTGTGTAAACGCATGGGAAATTAGAGAAATGGAAGATAAAGGAGGTAAAACATCTACAAATGATTTGATTGATAATATCTCATGCAAATGTATAAAAATTGAAGTCATTTGCAATAAATACCCGAAGCACTTAAAAATTGAGAGAAAAATGAAAATCAGGATGCCATGCTGCGACTCTTTGTGAAATTGTTCCAACACCCTGAACAAATGTTTTTATATGTTGATTCAACAAATTTTTTTAAAATTTTTTAATTATCATTTGTGGTGTTTTTCATTGAATATTGGTTTTGATTTTCTTCAATCCAAAAAATTAATGTAAAAAATACTCCCTCTATTCTGAAATATAGGTCATATGACTTTTTTTACGCATAATTTTAAATAATACTAAAGGGCTTGATGTCTAAGTGATTTGTTGGATTTGTTGGATTTATGAATTTATTTATAATATATGAATGACGATTGATTTTTTTTTTTTGTTATACATAGTTCTTACCGAATAATTTCATTTCATAAAAAAATTTAATTATTGTTTATAGGTTAAAAAAAGTCAAACACACTTATATTTTGAAAGAATAAAGTATTTATTTCAATTAAGAAAAGTACACAATAACTAATTAAGTTAAAAGGACAATACCATAAAAAATAAGTAAATAAAGGGACAATTGCGCAAGCGCCCATACTTAACATAAATGTACCCACAAGGGCCATTCACTGCTTTGGATCTTGCTCCGCTGGATTTTCTTGCCCCATATTCTGGATGTACTTTTGTAGAGGAACTTTTCCGCGATAGTGGAATATATATATATATATATATATATATTTTTTGGCTTACTTTAATTTTTATTGTTTTGGAGTATACAGCCCAATTCTTTTTCTATCCGTTGTAAATTTTAATCCTACTTAAATTCTTTCTTTTTTTATATATATTTGTTCTAAACTCTAATTCTACTGAAATTTTGTTTCTCCCTATTTCATTGCAAAAACCTCCCTAGGCCAGATGGGGGGAAGAAAAGGATGCACAATTTTTTTTCCTACCATGATCAATCTACAAAGCTTTCTAATTTCTTTTTTCTTTTTTTTTTTTTGTCATGGATTTTCAGGTGAAAATATAAATGAATATATGGGAAGAAGAAGAGGTATAAACTAAGAATTAAATCTTATCCTATATATACACATGACTAAAAGCAAAAAATAATTCTATCGTCAAATTAAATAGCTAGTTAATGGTTTATTTTATTTTATTTTATTTTTGAGCCAGGGGATTTGGAAGAAAAAGAAAAATATTATAATTATCTTAGTAGGAACTTGAATTTTGACATAAGGTATTTGACGCATATTATTAGCTCACTGAAAGCTACCAGTGCTATATTATGGGTATATTTAGTGCAAATGATGACTCTTTTAATCATTTGAATTAACTTTGTCTTCGTGTATTGTTCATTTTTTTCACATATGTTATTTCTCATAAGAAGGGAGTTTTCAAGAGGAAGAAAGTACATGGGGTGTTCAAATTAGATATTTAGATACAGCTAAGAGTTAATATTTAATATTTAATAATTATTATTATTTTTAATTTAAAGTATTTAGTCTATTTAATTAAAACTAACAAATAATAAGTATTTTTATAAAAACAAGACACATTCACATATACTTTTGATTTTGAATTCTAGTATTGGTATTGTTTTATTTCAATATACCAACTATCTCATAGAGGTATGTCATCCAAACGATATGTTTTATCCAATTTTTCATTGAAATTCGGCAAAAAAAAAAAATTGAAAATGTTTGATTTCCAGGAGCTGTCTGAGGCTCATAAGCCAAGTTTCACATATGAAGCAAAAGTAACGACTTAGTCAATATATAATTATATACTCTAATTTTCATATTCTATAAGGTCACACTGATAATAGTGATTCTTCCTTTTTGTATTTAATATTTTTCTTTGGAGTTCCTATTTTTATATATTTTAATAGTACACAAGTATCTAACAGTACTTTTAAAATGGTTAAATATCAAATTTAATCAGTAAACTTCAAGGTTTGAACAATTTATCTTTAAATTATATTTTACATTTTTTTATCCTTTTACAATGAAAATGCACTCTTTTTTTTTCATTTTATCAAATTTTGTCAGTTAAATCAATACAACTAACATTTTCTTTTTATCTTTAAACTTTTGTTTTATCCATATTTTTAGTCCTTAAACTAATATTTGTTATACATTTTTAATTTTTAAATTTTTGTGTTATGCACATTTAGATTATTAAAAGAAATTAAAAAAGTATTAATTAGATAGACTTAACGGACAAAATTGATTAAATGACAAAAAAATATATTTTTTTGTAGTTGATAAGCAAAAAAGTGTAAAAAAATAAGTTGGCTACTAAAAATATTTTATATTAAAAATTCAAAACTAAATTTCACATTTAACCTGAAACACAAGTGTGGATATACATATATATATGTGTATAAGAGAGAAAGGTCAGGTTCAAGTGTAGATATATATATATATATATATATATATGTTTTAATAGAGTAGTTTGCATATTTATACTGTGTATTGATTTTAAATTGATGAATAGCATAAGAGATGATTACACCATTACGTAAGCTCTTGCCTGGCATTTTTGGGCACCATATAAAATAAGGCAGTAAAACCTCAGATCAAAGCTGGCATAATATATAATATATAAGAATATGCAGTGAATATAACCGAACCTCCGTGAATTATGAAATGAATAATGATATATAAATAAATTTTTTTATAATTTTTTATATATCATTAAATTTTAATATAAATTCGTATAATATTACTTATAGTAGGTAGGGGAAGGAGTGCACGGAGCAGCTGCCCCCTTAACTTTTAAAATTTTTCAAAATTAGTACATTATTATTTTTTTACTCTTTAGAATTTTTAGATATTATATTTATAATGTAAAATTTTAAGTTATTCTCATTTAATGCTTTAATAATTAATCTTTCATACTTAACAATACAAGAATAATAAAATTTATAATATTTTTATTATGACCATCATTTCAAATACGAAAAGAGCATTAAGACTTAATTAAATCATTTGTAAAAGGTAAGAATATTATAATTTAAATAAATATTTTCTACATATTGAATAACTAAATAAATAAATGACATCTTATCTCTTTCATATTGCTTAGTTTTTTGGGTGGAAAAAGATAATTTTTAATATATAAATCAATAAAAAGATAAACCTTTAAATTTGAAAAAAGTAAGATTTTAAAATTACTTAAATCAGTTGATTTATTATTTAAGTATTATTATGGTGAGGTGTTGTTTCTCATTTTAATAATAAAAAATTATTAAAGATATGAGAAGAAAAAAGTATATTAATTTCTTAATTTTGTTAAAATTCTAAAAAGATATAAATGAAAAAGACAATCAAAATTAAAATATTTTAAAAAAATTAACTAATATCATAAAAGATATTTAAAATTCAAGTTGTCAATAAAGAATTTCATCCCCTCACTTAATTTTCTAGCTCTGCCCCTTATTACGGTTTCTAATAAAAAAAAAGTTAACTTTTTTTGGATTCTAACTTAATCTTTAAAAACCTTGTTAGATAATAACTAATTTAGAGTTGAGATGAGCCAAATCTCATAAAAAAAAATTTTAATATTTATTTCTTTATTTATAAGAT